TGACCAGGGAGCCTGATGCGGGGCTCGATCCCAGGACTCTGGGATCATGACCTGAGCCGAAGGCAGACGCTTAACGACTGAGCCACCCAGGTGCCCCAAATGAGCAGATTCTTAAGTTTCCTGCAGTCAAGAGCCAGGTTATTTTTTTCTGTTTTCTTAAGAGGCCTGAACCTGTCATGCGGTCATTACTAAGGTGGGGACAAAGTAACATGCCCAGTTATGGAAACCATACTGGCACAGCGCCCAGAGGGTAAAAATTTCTCGTTTCCACGGTGCCTAAGTGTGAGCCGGCTGCTCCGGCTCGGTGCCTGCCACCACCCCTTCCACAGGCACAATCATGCCAGCGACCGTCTGAAGGAGCCACCATGAGGCCCACACACCCACACGACAGAGACGAGAGATCCTAGACGCCCAGGAAATTCAGAGACAACGTGCCCAGTAAAAGATCTCAAAGAAGAGATGATCAGACAGTGGAAAAAGAAAAAGGGAGCCTGCACATGGTGAAAAGGATCTGAAAAACTGCAAACGTGCACAGATCTGAAGAACAGAGCCTCCCGTGAGCACGGCACAGAGGAAAGATTTAGGGGAATGAACCCCAAGAGAAAATACAGGTACGTGGGTAGAGAGCCGACGAAAGACCAGGACCCGTGATGCCCGACAGCAAAGGCTCCTGGACAAGAAGAACAAAGAACAAAAGCCTCTGAAAATGGGAAATAAGAAAATGTTCCCAAAATTAAAGTCCCAACAGTAGGAGCACCTGGGTGGCTCAGCTGGTTAAGCGTCTGCCTTCAGCTCAGGTCATGACCCCAGGGTCCTGGGATCGAGCCCCGCATCAGCTCCCTGTTCAGCAGGGAGTCTGCTTCTCCCCCTGCTCCTCCCCCTGCTCGTGCACTCTTGCTCTCTCTCAAATGAATAAATAAATAAGTCTTCAAAAAAATTAAAGTCCCGATGGTCAGGTCAAAACCACTGGGCACACATGGTTAGGACAGCAGAGGCCCAGCACGGACGAAGCTCTGCCCATGGAGGAACGGCCCCGCCGACAGCTTCGCACCCTTACGGCCGGCGGTCGGTGCACCTGCTCTCGGCCTCGATGTGACTCACACTGTCCCCACTCTCCACACCCTGCCGCTCGCTGTGGACGTCCCGCCTCACCCCTGCCTCATCCCTGTGAGGTGCCCACAGGCTCACGGCACACGGGGGGCGGGGGGCGCTATCCTTCACAAGACCCCTTGGAGTGGCGCCCTCGCCAGGACCTGGCGCTCTCCAACCTTTTAATTTTACCGCTCGGGTGGCACAGAAAGAAATCTCACCATGGTGCCTGTTCATATCGGCCTGGTTTCTAGCAATATCCAGCATCGATTCACATGTTTGTTTTTTGCTTCTATCAAATTTCTCCCTTGCTCTTTGTACCTTTATTTTTCTGTTTGAGTTTCTCTGAGTATTTTTTCTGTTTTTTATTGATTCAGGAGTCCTTTAAATCCCTGAGCAACAACCTTTGGGCATTCGACAAATATTTGCTGGGTCCCCACCACCTGCCAGCACTCTTCTCAGAACTAAGGAAACCACAAGGACATGGATGCCATGTTAACACCTGCCATGCGCTGTGCTCAGCGCTTTACACACAGACTCTGTCATCCCCACAACCACAGCCCTACGGGATCACTGCCGTGACTGTCCCCAAGGCAGAGAGAGATCGGGTCGCTCTGCTGGCCCGAAGTGGCCCAGCTGAGTGGCAGAGGCAGGCTCGACCTCCCAACTCCAGAGACACCTGCTCTGTAAGGGCTGCAAACTAACCCCTGTGTGGTTCAGTCAAGGAGGGCACTCAAATAAAGTGCTTTACATAAGAAAGCATGAGAAAACGAGAAAGAGCTCTCAAAACGAAAAATAAGATAGCTAAATGTAAATTTCAGTAGAGCAGGGAGTAAGATGATGGAATCTTCTAGAATGTGGGAAAGAAAAGATAAGATGACTAGAGGAAACGGTCCAGGAAATCGAACCCCCAAGCAAGAGGTGTTCCAGAAACAGAAAATAGAACAGAAACTCGCCCAGAAAGGACAGGACAACCTTTCCCAAGACTAAGGGACCAGGGTCTCCGGGTCACAAGGGCCACAAGAGGGCTTCACACAAGGGCCCAAAGACCCACACCAAGGCCCATATAACAAAATTTTAAAAGACCAAAGATAGTAAGAAGCTTCTCCATGTGCCCAGGAGAAAAGAAAAGAATCACGTGAGAGCTAAAAAGACTCTGAGTAGCACCAGACTTCTCCCCAGCAAGAGCACAAGCCAAAGGCAATCCTACACACGATACATTTAAAACTATGCAGAAAAGTTATTTTTAATCTAGGATTTTTTTCTTTTAATTCTGCAAAACTATTCATCACGTGTAAGAGTCCAATAAAGACATCTGCACGCAGGCAAAATGTTAAAAAATTCACCTTTAATGGATCGTTGCTTAGAAAGTATGATATCATGATTTACCTTAAGAAATATATTTGGTCTTCCTGGCACTGAGCTCTTAAAGCCCTTGGATTTTCCGGAGATAAGAGCCATACAGGTGTTTTTACATTAATGGTGTCAGTGGGAAAGGCCCTCTGGTTGCCAGGGGAGCCAAGCCAGGGATCAGGAAGTTGGAGCTTTTGGACCCACCTCCAGACCTGGGGAGGGAGCCAGACTGGGGGTTGAGTTCAGTGGCCAAAGGCCAATGATTTCATGAATCATGCCTTGTAATGAAGCCTCCAGAAAACTTCCAAGAATGAGGTTTGGGGAGTTCTTGGGTTGGTGACCGCATGGAGATCCGGGGAGAACAGTACACCCCCAGAGCCCGCCCTGTGCATCTCTCCCACTTGGTTCTCTTGATTATATCCTCTTAGAGTAAACCGTGATCTAGAAGTCAACCTCGGAGGGAGTGGTAGGAACCTCTGGAATATACTAGAAGCCACATGCCAGCAAATGAGCAACTCGTCAGAGACAGTGATGCAGGGGGCTGGTCAGCCCAGGACGGCGAGAAGTCCCACAGAACTGTGCAGGAAGGGGGTGGCGAAAGTACAGAAAACCCCGAAGTTTTCCTACATACAGCTATGCAGCGTCTCAAGATACAATGTCGGAAGCTGCACCTGCTACAGCCACAGTACCACATAAACGTCAGGAACCCCGGCGAGAACAGCGGACAGGTTTCTCACCCAGGGGTGACCATGCCCCCAGGGGACATTTGCCAAAGTCAGGAGACATCCAAGGCTGTCACAAACAGACTACCTACGGGGGAGGCCAGGGAGGCTGCCGCACCCCTTGCCATGCAGAGGACAGCCCGAGGCCGCGGTGGACACCCCGGCGTACAGGATGACTCCGGACATGAGACGTTCGATGGGCCACGGTCGATGAGCTTTCCGTAATCAATCGGCCGTACTGTAACCAGCAGCCTCAAGACAGCTGTACCTAAAATGGCAGGCACTTGCCCCCAGATTCTCTCGTATCTCCCCCAGGATGCAGACCACGACTCTGCCCAGGGAAGACATGAAACAAGCATCCACAGAGTGGCCACAACCTGTGCTTCCCTGCTCGGGGCGCCGGGGACTCACCGGTTCCGTGACCACGGGGTGAACCAGCGCAGTTCCCGGTAGTTGCCTTCGTTGGCCAAGGCCATTTTGGGTCTGATGAGCAGGATTTTCCTGCAGGGAGGAAAACAGGACGGCTCTTGAGATGAACACCCGTTAACAAGGGGCGGCCCACAGGTCCACCCTCCCCTGACGGTGGACGATGACTGAGCCGCCAAGACCCAGCAGATGTGCTGAGCTGTGCAGGCAGCTGACGTCCGGGGTCCGCCAAGACAGCAGGACACACTACCCTCCGTCGAACGGCAGCAGCCCACCCTGCGGTCTCTCTCCTTCTAATACCCGAAGGTGAGCGTGGTGGGCAGAGGCCAGGAGAAGCAGTGATGCCTGGGTCACCTGCCCGTATGTGGGCCCTCCCTAAGGACCAGACATTGCCGGAAGCTGCCTCTTAGCACACGGCTCCCAGGGAGCATGCGGTTCCCAGGGCGCATGCGGTTCCCAGAGAGCATGCCGCAGGGCAGCAGAGCCTGGGGGAGGCGGCGCGCGGGGCACTCTCTCCCGGCCACCACCTACCTGTTAAGAAATATCACCCTGCAGTTGTAGCGGACATTCCGGTGCATGACAGGCCTGCGGAGAGAGGGGGCACACACGTGTCTGAGAACAGCAAAATCCTATGTTCGTTTTAGTACGAAGCCTCCTCGAGCCCTGGAGGAGAAGCAGAAGGCTCCCCAGTAGCTTTCTCAGAGGGTTTCTGCCCTGAGATAGGCTCTAAAGCGGGAGAGACTCTTCCAGTGGAGCGTAATCATTCCCTCTCAGGGCTCTTCCTCTCTCCTGGAACATTCTCAGACCTTCCAGTGGCTGCCCCCCCCCCATCTGCACGTAGCCCTGTCACCGTGTCACCTCTCCGTCCCCTACTGGCCTTAAGCACCAGCCCCTGCGCCTTCCTGGTTCTCCTTCAGAGCACCTCCTGACCTGTGGCCTGCGCCCCTTCCATTTGCCCACCACTCTGTCTGGACCCCTCCCACAGATACTGTGCTTCACATCTCCCCACTCATGTCCTCCCCCTCTGCAGGAAGCGGGGCACTCTGCTAGGGGGAAGCTGGCCAGGTATCAAGGACATCATGATATTATTATTGTTTTGTTTAGAAGCTTATAGGTCCAAATAAATGTTAGATGTGAAAAGAAAATATCTTTATAAATATGAGTCTTAATATCTTAAGAGTAAAACGTATAAAAATAAAAATAGTATTATAGGGCGCCTGGGTGGCTGAGTCGGTTGAGTGTCTGATGCTTGATTTCGGCTTGGGTCATGATCTTGGGGTTGTGAGATCGGGCCCCACGCCCGACTCCCAGCTCAGCGAGGCATCTGCTTCTCTCCCTGTCCCTCTGCCCCTCCTCCTTCTCCCTCTCTCAAATAAACAAATAAATCTTTTTAAAAAGTAGGATTATAAACTCTAAGCCAAGAGAAGAAAGTGGAGCACAGAAAAGCACCAAAGCCAAGGGAAACCCATAGGGAGACAACAGGGCCCGAGCAGGACTATGCCCCTGTGGCAGCTGAATCAGGAAGCGCAGGGACGTCCACGTCCTAATTCCTGGAGCCCGAGGAATTGTAATGTAAGCCCCCTCACATGACGACAGGGGCTTTGCACACCCTGAGATGGGGAGATTATCCTGGACTACCTGGGCCGCCCAACGTAGTCACCAGGTCCTTACATGAGGGAGGCGGGGGTCAGAGCAGGAGCAGAGGTGTGGGAGACCACTGCTGGCTCTGAAGGTGGACCAGGGGTCCTGAGGGATGCAGGGGCCTCGCCAAGCAGGACTGCCCCCCAAGAGCCTCCAGGACCCAGCCTGGCTGATCTGAACCATTTTTCAGACTTCTGATGTCCACAAACATAAGACAAAAAACTTGTGTTGCTTTTGTGTTTTACGTTTGTGGTCATTTGTCACAGCAGCGATAGGAAACATCCAGAATCATGATAAACGTGAACAAACTGGGTTAAAAATCCTGTCTGTGACCTGTACCTCTGAAACAAATAATACATTATATGTTAAAAAAAAAAAATAGCAGGAGGGGAAGAATGAAGGGGGAGAAATCGGAGGGAGAAA